TGTTCAGGAGGCTGTATGGCTATCTTCCTGAAGCATTGTCTCCTGACTTTTCACATCTATGCCAGACATCCTCAAAAGTTGTGATGTCTGACAACCTCTGAGAATGCCTGCCATAGATGTGGGTGAGACGTCAGGAGAGAATGCTTCTGGAACATGGCTATACAGCCCAGAAAACTCACAGCAACCCAGTGATTCTGGCTATGAAAGTCTTCTACAACATGATGGTATTATGGCTGGGACTAAAAGACTCACACAAGAAAGGAGGATTTGAGTCCCCCCAGGGGTGAGAAAGGCGGTACATAAATACTGTAAATAAATAAATAATAATAGATATTTGTAGGGCAGATCTAGAACTGGGACCCCCAATGGTACAGTGGGTTAAACTACTGAGCTGCTGAACTCGCTGACCGAAAGGCCAGTGGTTTGAATCTGAGGAGTGGGGTAAGCTCCCACTGTTAGCCACAGTTTCTGCCAACCTAGCAGTTTGAAAACATGCAAATGTGAGTAGATCAATAGGTACCACTTCAGTGGGAACATAATGGTGCTCCATGCAGTTATTCTGGCCACATGAACTTGGAGGTGTCTATGGACAACGCCGGCTCTTCAGCTTAGAAATTGAGATGAGCAACACCCCCTTGAGTTGGACACAACTAGACTTAATGTCAAGGGAAATATTTACCTTTACTTAGATCAAGGACTAAAGAAATCCCTGAGGCAAGGTGGTAAATGGGTATATGCATGGTACGCAATGGACAAAGGCTGCAGATACACTGCAGAATTATAGAAGTTTGACACCACATTACCTCCCATGGCTCAATGCTATGAAATTCTAAGATCTGTAGTTATTATGGTACCATAAGAGAGCTTTGGTACCATAATAAACTACAAATTGCGTGATCCCATTGGATGGGGCCATGGTAGTTAAAGTGGTGTCAAACTGCTATAATTCTGCATTGTGGATAGTTTATAAGAAAAAGGAATCCGGATGAGTGCTTGAGAACCGAGGGAAGAAAGGTTTAGTTCAAAAAGAGGCAACGAAGATAGCCAAAACCGCACAGAAGCTGCATTGTTGCATGGACTAAATGACATTTTGAACAGTTGCACCCAAGTTTCTCCTTAGTTCACAAATAAAATGTTCCCTTGTCAGCAAATTAAAAATCAGAGCTTTGCCGAGACCATTAATATGGCACAGAGTTGCAAAGGGAAGGCTAACTGGGCAAAATCTCAAACAGGGCCCAGGGATAAAAGGAACTGGGCATTATTAACTAGTTATGTAACAAAATTGTGGGGATACTATTTGAGGAAACAAGGGAAAATATGAAGCAATGCCCTAATTAGCATTAAAAGTGAGCATGTGACATTAAAATTTGGCTTAAGATTCATTTGCAGCATAGAATTAATGCAATTTGACTCCACTTTAATTGCCATGGTTCAATGATATGGAATCATGGGTTTTTTAGCTTTGCAAGGCCTTTTGCCAAAGAGTGCTTGGTGCCTTGTCAAACTACAACTCCCAGGGTTCCATTGCATTGAGCTATGGCAATTAAAGTGGGGAGGGGGGGTTCGTGTCAGGAGCAACTTGAGAAACTGCAAGTCGCTTCTGGTGTGAGAGAATTGGCCCTCTGCAAGGACGTTGCCCAGGGGACGCCCAGATGTTTTATCATCCGTGGGAGGCTTCTCTCATGTCCCCACACAAGGAGCTGGAGCTGACAGATAGGAGCTCACCCCACTCCCCAGATTCCAAACGCCAACCTTTCGATCAGTAGTTCTGCCAGCACAAGGGTTTAACCCATTGAACCTACTTAGTTGAAGTGGGGTTGATCTGCATTAATTTTGCAGTGTAGATGCACCCAAGGGCTACTTATTTGTAAAAAGAACACATTTTTTGGAAGAGAACTGAGCACAGAAATGGCAGAACAAAGGGAATGCTTGTTTCCTAAACATTTCCTTTCTCCCAAGCAACTTCCCCTTTTATTGTGGGGTCTCAAACTTGCTTCCTCACTTTTTTCCACACCCACCAATACAAAAAACAGAGAGATGACATGGAGAAACCAAAGTGGGATTAAGTAGCTCTCTATGATGCTTATGTATGTGTGTCCAGGGTGAACCCATGCATTTTATAGGATTTTCTTAGGCAAGGAATACGCAGAAGTTTTTTGCCATTTCCTTCCTCTGACATACAGCCTACAGCACCTAGCATTCAATTCTGGTCTCCCATCCAAATACCAGCCAGGGCTGGCACTGTTTAACGTTCAAGACAGAATCTAGTCCCTTCATTCCTTGTCTTAAAAACAGTACTTATCAGGTCAGTTCCTCCACATACTTTTTGTCCATCCTAACAGCCGATAAGGCAAGGAAGATTACCTACTGAGGGGCTTCGAGTGTCACCGCAATACAGTTATAGTTTCATATGACATTATTATAGTACTTTCATTCCACTTTATCTAGTGTCGGATCTTGGAATTTGTAGCTTGGTCAAAAGCACCAGAACTCTTATGGCTGAGGATGTTGAACACCTCTCCAAATCCCAGGAATCCAAAGGATGGAAGCACAGAGTTAAAGTGGAATCATAGCATTTTAAATGAGTCACATAAACGAGGCCCCAGGAAAGCAGACCAACAAAAATAAGGCAAAATTGGTGGTGAAATATCACAGATGGACTAGGACCAGTCGGCCACTTCTCTACCTGCTGTGTGAAGGTAAAAAAAATTCAAAATAACAAGTATCAAATATCATTCCTCCCCTTGACCTGGCATAGCACTGCACAGAAAACATCAAACTTCAAATGTTTCCAGGTTTTCAGGTTGAACAACCTCATATTTGACCCTAGGAAAGGTGCCCATCTCTGCTCCAACTAAAAACATTTTCTTTGTGTCTCATTTTTTAGGTCTGTTCCTGGGGTTATTTGGGGCGCTGATTTAGAAAATTGCACTGGATACACCACATCAGCTCTAGGTTTTTTTTAGATATGGTCATCATAAGTGAGACATTTTGTGTGTGTGTGTATGTATCAGGAGTGACTTGAGAAACTGCAAGTCGTTTCTAGTGTGAGATAATTGGCTGTCTGCAAGGACATTGCCCAGGGGATGCCTGGATGTTTTACCATCCAGTAGGAGACTTCTCTCATGTCCTCGCATGAGAAGCTGGAGCTGACAGATGGGAGCTCACCCTGCTCCCCAGATTCCAAATGCCAACCTTTCAATCAGCAGTCCTGCCAGCACAAGGGTTTAACCCATTGTACCACCAGTAGCAACAAAAGATGAAAATTGGTATATAGCATATGTTCTGTATCTCAAAAACTAGAGCTGTTGGGAGAAACTGGTACCTTTTTGCATCGCACCATCTCTATGGAAAACTTTAATTGCAATAGTAATAAAAAGAACTGCCCGGGTTGGGGGGCGGAATGCTGCAAGATAGGACTGGAAGAAATTACTTTATCCAAGTTACTCATATGGGACTGTGGCACAGCTGGCTGGGAGTCAGCTGCATTAAGATCACTACTGACCCAAAGGTCATGAGTTCGAAGCCAGCCTGGGTCGGAGTGAGCTTCCGACCAATTTGTCTAGCTTGCTGTTGACCTTTGCAGCCCAAAAACAGTTGCATCTGTCAAGTAGGAAATTTAGGTACCACGTATGTGGGGAGGCTAATTTAAATAATTCACAACACCATAAAAAACTCCAGCAAGCATGCAAAAAATGAGGAAGTACTTCATCAGTGTCACAAATGGACGGTGAAGCGACAGCTCCCCTGGTGGCCAGAATACCCTCATGAAAAAGCTGGAATGTTAAATAGCCTCTGTGTGTCTGTCTATAAATGTTGTTTTTCTATGGCATTGAATGTTTTCCATGTATATATACATTGTAATACACCCTGAGTCCCTTGCAGTGTGAGAAGGGACCACCAAACGCAGCAGCATTGCCCAAACACGAATCAAGGAAGATGAAAGGCAGTGCAGACTACTTCAACCTGAGAAGTCGGCCATAGCCGAGCACCCGATGAACCAACCTGGACACAGCATTTTATTTGAGAACACAGAATTGCTGGACCACTCTCACAACCACCATGTCAGATTACACAGAGAAGCCACTGAAATCCACAAGCATGTGGACAATTTCAACAGAAAGGAGAAAACCATGAAAATGAACAAAATCTGCCTACCAGTATTAAAAAAACTCCAAAATTAGAACAACAGAGAGGAAACAATCTGGGACATCTAATCACCTCTCAACAAAAGATTGCCCCAGACACTGCCAGGCCATCAAATGCTAATCAAGGTGGTCAGTTGAAACATTCACACCTAGCTCCAGCAGACAAGAGTTCTTTGTCCCACCCTGGTCATTCCACAGATATATAAACCCATTTTCCTAGTTCCAACAGCACTACCTCTGAGGATGCTTGCCATAGATGCAGGCGAAACGTCAGGAGAGAATGCCTCTAGTCTAGACCATGGCCATATAGCCCGAAAAAACTTACAACAACCCAGTGATTCCGGCCATGAAAGCCTTTGACAATACATTAAGTCATGCTTTTCTTAAAAGTTAGGATCTCCAAAAGGTATTTTCCCAGAAGGCTATGAATGCCATTTCCCAAAAGTGATTGATGCAGTCTGACACCACTTGAACTGCCCTGGTGTCCTGGGATTTGTAGTTTTGCAAGGTCTAGAGCCTTCTCTGCCCAAGAGTGTTGGGGGCTCCCCAAAGGACAACTCCCAGGGCTCTGCTGCATTTGAGCCATGGGCAGGCTCAGTTAGGGAAAAGAGGGTTAAGGCCTTAGGAAACTACAACTCCCAGGATGCCATAGGTTAGGCAGGGAGCCAGGGCAGCAGTTCAAGCGGAGCCAGGGCTGCCTCAATGCTCCAGGGCATGGCGAACACACCCACCTCCCCAGCCTCACCTCCTGGAAGCGAAGAGGGGGCGAACTAGTGCTCCCAGGGGTTGCAATTGCAATTGCCTTGCAAAGCCCCGGCCCCGCCCTTTCGCTGTGTTCCAGCTCCTGCTCACCTGTCCTCGGAGACGCTGAGGATGCCCTCCTCCTTGGGCACGATCGCGGCCATGGTCACGGCGTCCTGGGAGCCCTCCACTTGGCCCAGGAGGAGCGGGCGCCGGGTCAGGGGCGCGCCGGGAGGGGCATCCGCGGCCATCGGAACAGCGCCCGCTGGAACAGCCCCACTCCCGCCGCCGCCGCTGCTCCTACTCCTGCTGCCTTCACCACCAGAATCCCACGACAGCCAAGCTGGCCCGGCGCGCCTGCGCACTACGGAGAAGGCCGGAAGCAAGGGAGGCGGGGAGGGCAAAGAGGATGCGGGGATGCGGCCTCCTTCGTTCACCCACGAGACTTCCGGATCCCGAGTGCCGCTCTCATCGACCCAAGCAGGGACCCAATCGTGAAGGGAGCTCATGCACAAGACAGATGGAAGAACATCATTTATTTCATCTTGGGACACAGAAGGAATGTCATTTGCCAGCTAGGGAACCCTGGGAGTTGCAGTTCGGTGAGGCACCAGCTCTCTTTGCCAGAGAAGGTTTTGTCAAACTATAACTCCCAGGAGTTCAGGGGTGTCATGCATTGGACCGTGATTTTTACATCTGTCGTCTTCTCTGCTGAAGAGTGATGGTGTCTCGTCAAACTACAAATCCCAGACCCAGACTACAAATCCTGGGACCCAAACTACAAATCCCAGACCCAGACTACAAATCCCAGGACTATTTGGGCCTCCCCAAACTACAAATCCCAGGACCTAGACTACAAATCCCAGGACTGTTTGGGCCTCCCCAGACTACAAATCCCAGGACTGTTTGGGCCTCCCCAAACTACAAATCCCAGGTCTTCATATCCTGAGGCATGGCAGTTCAAGGGGTGTCAGACTTCAGCCATGCTATGGTCCCATGGTTTTGACAACTTCTGTCATCTTCTCTGCTAAAGAGAGAGGGTGCCTCCCCAGACTACAAATCCCAGGACTGTTTTTGAAACAGCGGTAGTAGTTGTCTTCTCTGTTAAAGAGAGAGGGTGCCTCCCTAGACTACAAATCCCAGGACTGATTTTGCAACAGCTGTAGTCTTCTCTGCTGAAGAGTGATGAGTCCTCCACAAACTACAAATCCCAGGACTCCATAGCCTAAGACATGGCAGTTCGAGAGGTGTCAGACTTCAGCCATGCTATGGTCCCGTGGTTTTGACAACTTCTGTCATCTTCTCTGCTAAAGAGAGAGAGTGCCTCCCCAGACTACAAATCCCAGGATTGTTTTTGCAACAGCTTTAGTCTTATCTGCTAAAGAGTGATGGTGCCTCCCCAAACTACAAATCCCAGGACTCCAAAGCCTGAGACATGGCCATTCAAGGGTTCTTAAACTTCAGTCATGCTATGGTCCCATGATTTTGACAGCATTGGTTGTCATCTCTGTTAAAGAGAGAGGGTGCCTCCCCAAACTACAAATCCCAGGATTCCAAAGTCTGAGCCATGGCATTTCAAGGGTGTCAAAATACAGTCATGCTGTAGGCCCATGGTTTTGACAACATCTGTAGTCTTCCCTGCTAAAGGGCATTGATGCCTCCCCAAATTACAACTCCCATGACTCCATGGCTTGAGCTATGGCAGTTCAAGAGGTGTCAAATTTCAATCATGCTATGGGCTTTTTACAACATCCTTAGTCTTCTCTGCTAAAGAGTAATGGTGCCTCTTCAAACTATGCATCCCAGGACTCTATAGCATGAGCCATGACAGTTCAAGGGGTGTCAAACTTCAGTCATGTTATGATCCTATGGTTTTGGCAACATCTGTAGTCTTCTCTGCTAAAGAGTGATGGTGCCTCCCCAAACTACAAATCCCAGGATTCCGTAGAACTGAGACATGGCAGTTCAAGGGGTGTCAGATTGAATTCTGGGACTTGTAGTTTGGGGAGGCACCAGCACTCTGGCGGAGAAGGCTACAGATCTTGTAAAGAACATGGGTCCACAGCATGATTGCAAAAAGGCAACAGACCTTGTAAAACTACAACTCCCACTACTTCATAGCATTTAGCTATGGCAAATAAAGTGGTATCATGCTATGTTAACTATTATACAGTGGAGATGCACACTAGATGTGTTTTCGATTTTGGATTAATTTCTTTTCCGAATGCATGGATTTGCATAAGCATATATAATGAGATACTTTGGAGATGGGATTCCATGTACTAAATTCATGTAACTTTCATTTATATCTTATAACTTGAAAGTCATTTTATACAGTACTTTTTAATGATTTCCTCATGAAACAAAGACTGTGTGCATTGAACTGCCATAAGGCGAAGGTGTCAATGCCTGGACAATTTTGGATTTTGAAGTCTTTTAGAATTCCAGACCCAATTATTTGAGCATTGGACTATGACTCTCAAATCCCCACTCAGTTTTGGACATCCAATGGATGGCCTTGAGTGAGTCACACACTCTCAGCCCGCTGGATTCTTGCCACCTTTTTCCCATCCTGATGTAATGCAATATCCAGGGAAATATTTAGATTCCCTTAGGGTCCTTCCACACAGCCCTATATCCCAGAATATCAAGGCAGAAAACTCCACAATATCTGCTTTGAACTGGGTTATCTGAGTCTACACTACCATATCTTCCAGTTCAAAACAGAAAATGTGGGATTTTATTCAGCTGTGTGGAAGGAGCCTCAGATTGATGTTTGGCACTCCATGTTTCCTCCCCTGTAGCAGCTGGTGGCTCCCATATTAATGGGGCAGTGGCCTTGAAGGAGGTGTCCAAGGTGCTGAACTCAAGTCTTAAGTCAATCCACTACCTTGGATAGCTACCCAAAAGGTGACCCAAATCTGGAATGACTTCATTATTCTCTCTCATAAGATAGAAGTCACTCTATCTATGCTGTTTGACACCACTTGAAATGTCAAGGCTCAATGCTATGAAATCATGGGAGTTGTAGTTTTACAAGGTCTCTCACTTTTTCCCCAAAGAGTGTTGAAGCCTCTCCAAACTACAAATCCGAGGATTCCCTAGCATTGAGACTCAAAACTTAAACTGGTGTCAAATTGCATTAACTCTACAGTATAGATGCACCTTGTAACTCTTGAGTTTCCTTTCCTCAACTGCACTGTACTTCTTGACGTTTTTAATCAGCCTTACCTGACTCTCGGGTGGAACATAGCATGGGTTTGTGGCATCGTAAGGCAGGGTTGGCAAAAGTGTGGGGTGTAGGGGTCATTGTTCCAAGGGGATGTTGGTGACCACATTCCCCACTTTCTTTCAATTTTAAAATTTCCCCTCTCCATACATATATAGAATCATAGTTGGAAGAGACCTCATGGGCCATCCAGTCCAACCCCCTGCCAAGAAGCAGGAAAATCACATTCAAAGCACCCCCGACAGATGGCCATCCAGCCTCTGTTTAAAAGCCTCCAAAAAAGGAGCCTCCACCATACTCCAGGGCAGAGAGTTCCACTGGTGAACACCTCTGGAAGGCCACATACCCTTCTGATGTTCCTCAAGGAGCATGCTGCCATATTTTTGTTTGATTTCTCTGACTATTTTAGTCCCAGAAGAACTTTTTTTCCAATAGGATGTGATCCAGAAGTGATTATGTCAAATTGCCTCCCACCCCATCCATTAGGGGCATTTGGGGGCAAAATAAAGTCCATAAAAACCAATCTGCAATGCTGTAGACTTCCTGCAGGCTGCATTCACCGAAACCCTGGTATAGAGCATTCGTATTAATTGTGGGCAAAGTTCAGGAGCAATTTTCCCAGGCCTGTGCCAGCCTCTGCCAAGAAATTCCCCATTACATTCTTTTGTATTTCAGAACAGAAGGCATAAGGGTACACATTCTTAAAAAAGAAGAATTGTGCCCCCTAGAGGCATGATTCTTCTATTCTCAAAAATAACACATTAAAACTGGATATGGGAAAACTGCACAATTCCGATGCCTGGTTTCTACAATAAGTAGTGCTGGGATGGATGTGGAGTGATTGAGACTATACAATAATTAATACATAGATTGAGTTGGAATATATATGAGGATTGGCTGACAGGAGTAAATTCGGCTTGAAATACTATGGCATGAGTGGGTAAAAAAGAAACAGAGAGGCAGCTTGAGACACCACTTTAACTGCCATGGCTCAATGCTGGGAGTTATAGTTTGGTGGGGCACCAACACTTCTTGGCAGTGAAGGCTAAATACCTTGTCAATCTGCAATTCCCATGATTCCATTGCACTGAGCCATGGCAGCTAAAGTGTTGTCAAACTGCATTAATTCTACAGTGTACATGCAACCTTTGTGTGAGTGGAAGGAAAATCATCTTAAAAGGGAGAAAATCTAAAGAACACCATGTAGCAAAATTTGGTACATAAATCTATATTCGAATGTTTGTGCTTTTATATTATTTTTAGCCCAATATTTATGGGCTAGAGAGTGGGGAGGAGTCAGATATAACTATATAATATACTGAGCCAGTAAATAATAAATTATTCATAGTTTTCTTTGATAAAGCAAGACTAAGTCTTGCTCGGCTGCTGTAAGGAATACTGGTAAATCAGCATAGCCATACACACACACACACACACATATCCAAAAAAACAAACCTTGATTTTGCTATGTTATATAAGGAACACCATTTTACTACACCATTGTATATAATGAGTCTAGGGCATCCATGGATTTCAATATCTACCATGGGCCCTGGAAACAAATCCAAATGGATACCAAAGGTCCACTGTACCTTTAATGATCTGTGTAAAGATCTTGAGTGTGGTGTAAATTAAAGACAAGAACGTGTGAAGGTATTTGGCCAATATGATGACCTGAAATCCAGAAGCTTTTTTTCCTTCCACAAAAAAAGTAATTTTATTCATATTATTTTATTAATTAAGGAAGGGCCACAAGGAGGAAAAGATAGCATGCCTTTGAATTGGTTTTGCTAGGAGTTCTCCATCTCTGGACACCTTTACTCAGAAGCCCCTTAACAAAAGATAGCTTTGGTAATGTTGCGCCAGTTTTGCCCTAGACTAGGAACAGTCATTCTGCCTCTGTTAACCCAGTCAGGAAAATTTTGATTAAGACACACATGCACAACAAAGTAAGTCATTTCTACCTCTTCATAGTGAAAGCTACAGCTTTGCACGTGTTCCAGACATATGGTATTATGCCTTGTGGAATATATCCCAGCAATTTGCTTTTCCAGCAACCTGATACTTTATCTAAGGAAACCCTCTGATAAAACAAAATTTCGTCTAGGCTGAAATAGTAAATAGACCAAGCAGGGGTTTTTTTGTTTTTAAGTTAGGTACTGTGTTGATATTTGGTATTCTGAATATGTTGGTTGGCTTCTTATCACATAATAGTCATACTAACCCACATTCATGTCACTGAGCTATTGCTCAATGATGATGCCAGGAGCAATTATGGTATTTTTCAGAGGAAGAACTAGCAAAGCCATCTGACTATCCCTTGGCAAAAAAAGTCCTATGAAACTCACGGGGTCATCATAAGTTGACAAGCGACTTGAACTCACACAAACACATAGTCATTTTTTACTTATGGTGACCCTTAGATAAACTTAGCATGTGGTTTTCATGGTACGATTTGTTCAGAAGGGGGTTGCCTTTGCCTTCTTTTGAGGCTTAGAGAGTGTGACTAACCCAAGATCACTCTGTGATCCCAGTGTCTCCTTTGTAGCAAGCCAAGGAGATGCTGTGCCAAGGAGAATTTCCAACTATCTCTTGGTGGGGCTTTGAGTTGATGTCTCAAAGTCAGAGGCAGACATCCTGGGGATTTAGTGTCCCATTCTTTGACCAATGACACCGGCCAACACACATTTGATGCCCAAAATGTTAGACCTGCTTCTGGGTATATTCGACTGGCTGATTCCAAAAATGGTACCCTATCAGCTCTAGTTTTTGAGATACAGAATATATGCCATTTACCACTAAGAACCATATCTACGAAACTAGAGATGATGTGCAATTTTCTGAATCAGCACTCCCCATAACCCCAGGAACAAGCCTAAAAAACAAGACACCAAAATGTTTTGTTGAAGTGTGTTATTTGTTAGAGAGAAGACCTTTCCAGCAGAGGCTGAGAGGAAGATTTGTAAGAAGTGCTTCCTCAGAAAATTCCTTCATCTTTTCTGCAGTAGATATAAAAGCAGCTGGGAAAGGACCACTGATGGTGTCAAAAGAGCTAAGAAAAAGCATTAAAACCCCATTTTCCCCTTCACTGCGCCGCTTCACTGAATGTATTGTCAGGGAAAAAAATCAATAAATGGAATAACAGGACTAGACAGCATGCATCATTCTGTCTTAAGATGTTTGTACATAAAACGATAACTGCTATGAACAAAACAAGGCCACCCTACACATGGCAAAAAGCATTATTTTTTTTATTCACTGTCCTAAGACTTCCTCCACTCCTGGTTTCCTCTTGATGTTTACAAGACTGGAAATGTGCAATTTAAACAAAGCATTGACTGAATGATCTCAGAAAGCAGAGAGAGGTGAACATGAGGCTTTTGCACACTTATTCAGTAGGATTTGTAAGTCTTCCTATGAAGAGAATTGAACCTGTGAAGGAGAAAATAACACTTTATTTATTAAGTTTCCATTTAGAAATATGTTATCTCTAATCTAACAGGGCTTCTTTATACTTATTCAATGAATAAGCATTTGTGAGTGAACCAGGAGTCAAATTTAGGGCACATTAGTACCTAAACTTGGACCTTAGGAACTCTTTGTTTATGAGTTAGAACATAGTTATTTATGTAACAGAGGGCCCAACTACACAGCCATATAATCCAGAATATCAAGGCAGAATTACCCACAATCTTTGTTTTGAAATTGGTTATCTGAGTACATATTGCTATATATTCCAGTTCAAAGCAGAAAATGTGGGGTTTTATTCAGCTGTGTGGAAGGGACCAGAGTTAACAATAAAAAGAGACTCCTACAAGAGCAAGCAAGCAGTTTGGACAGGGCATTCAAAATAAGTTAGATATATTCCAGAATTATTGCCTCAAACAGTAATATTTTACTTATGGTAGCCCAATTTCTAAACAGGTAAAGAGAGGTGACTTATTTCTTCAGGGGCCCTGGTAGCACAATGAGTTAAACCCTTGTGCCAGCAGGACTGAAGTCTGACAGGTCAAAGGTTCGAATTCAGGGAGAGCGTGGATGAGCTCCCTCTGTCAGCTCTAGCTGCCCATGCAGGGACATGAGAGAAGCCTCCCACAAGGATGGTAAAACATATTAAAAAAATCTGGGGGTCCCCTTGGCAATGTCCTTGCAGACGGCCAATTCTCTCACCCTAGAAGCGTCCTTGCAGATGGCCAGTTCTCTCACACCAGAAGCCACACCAAGTAGCTCCTCACACAGGGGGCGGGGGAGGAAGATAGGGACTGTACTCCTGGTTATTGGGCTTACAATACATTAGGCTGAAACTGCTTATCTGGAAAATATCAACCCTAGGTTTGAAGATTTTATATGAAAAGCCTGACATGTGGTCATAGGCACAGTGGTTTTGCAAGAATGCAATCTGTTACAGCTTTGAGTCGCTATATTGGGAGAAAGGCAGGATAAAAATAAAGTAAATAAAGCGTAAATTTTAAAAATGAATAAAATTACTTTCTTTTAATGTGAGAACATTGCCTATGAAAACTATACCAGACATGCTTCTGAATGACTTAAAATGGGTTAATCTATATGTTAGTCTCTGTGTATGCTTTGCTAGAGGCACTAAAAGCCATTCCTTGGTCATGGCAAGCAATTTTCCTTATCTACGTTCTCTGCATTTACAGTGCTTTATTTTAGAATTGGTCATTGGAAGGTAAAGTCAGGCTTAATTTCCAAGTTTAGTCATGCATGTCTCTGAGGAAAGAGGAAGGGAAAATAAATAGTAGGGAATATTTCCTTTTAACGTGTGTGGTTTGACCATCAGGGTTTTTTTTCTAATAGCTTGAGTATGGTAACAAAATACATATCTGAATAAGTGTGACATTTTCTGTGTCAGCTCAATATGTATAAAATACTGTTTCTAGCAGCAGTATATAATGAAGCAAAAACAAGAGATTAAATACAGATTGGTTAAAATTGGAAAAATATAATTAAAACATTCAGTTTTACTGCTCACACTAAATCCTTATTTAAAAGGAAGAACAGGGTGCTTATCTATATCTTGATGTACAAAATGGTTAATGATGTACTTTCACTAGTTTTCTAAAATAATTTATTTTATAGGCCTTCAGCTGTGTGGTATATTAAGTAACAGTTTACTATCATAATAGTGACATCTTACAGATACGTTTTAATTTTTGCTTACCTGTACTGGCTTGCCATAAGAGGAAATTAAAAGGTCTATCAGCTTTGAAGACGGGAGCCCGGGATCTTTTTAGCAACACCATTGCTGTATCATAAAAGAATCAGTGAAAGGTTGGTTTCATTATTTCCTTTGGTTTAACACGCATATTATTTATTTATTTATTTACTATATTTCTATACCACCCTTTTCAGCCCAAGGGCGACTCAGGGTGGTTTACAAAACGGCATAATTTGATGCCACAATAATATAAACAGTTAAAAGCATATAAACATCCATAAAATTCCATAAACAATAAAATCAATAAAACATAAATCCTCTGTATCTAATTTCCAGAATTTTTATCCGATTGCAATTGTCCAGCCATTCCGAGGTCAAGTAATTATTTACTACATTGCATTTGAGAAAGCCTGCTCACAAAGCCAGGTTTTGACTTTTTTTCGGAATGTTAGGAGAGTGGGAGCCGATCTAATATCTCTGGGGAGGGCGTTCCATAGCCAAGGGGCTACCACTGAAAAGGCCCAATCTCTCGTCCCCGCCAAAAGGTGGGACAGAGAGCAGGGCCTCCAGAAGATCTTAAATTCCTGGATGGTTCATAAGGAGAGATACATTCAGACAGATAAGCAGGGCCAGAACCGTTTAGGGCTTTTTAGGCTAAAGCCAGCACTTTGAATTGTGCTCGGTAGCAGACTGGCAGCCAGTGGAAATAGCGCAACAAAGGAGTTGTGTGCTCGCCGCTCCTGTTAGCAACCTGGCTACCACCTGTTGGACCATTTGGAGCTTCCAAACAGTCTTCAAAGGCAGCCCTACGTAGAGAGCGTTGCAGTAGTCTATACGGGATGTAACCAGAGCATGTACTACTGTGGCCAAGTCAGACATCCCAAGGTACGGGCACAGCTGGCGCACAAGTTTTAATTGTGCACCACACAATCAAAATTAATTACCATACACACAATCAAAATTAATTACCTGTCGAATATATATCCATCCCTCTTTCAGCAAGAACATTGTATGCAGTGCTATTGCAGGTTCACCTTTTAAATTCAGTGAAATCATAGCACCATTTAAATTGCAAAAATAACATATTTGCTTCTCTACCCAATGAAGATGTTTGTTTAGGAATAAACATTAACTTGCTTAAAAAAGGGAACACACCCTAGGTCTGATGCTGGCAAAGGCTGAATAATTATACATAAACACACTCACACACAAAGTGACAATATTAAAAACTCATTAGTAATCATGTACATGCCTAGCAAGGCTGGCACAATCAGGAGACCCAGTGAAGCAATTGGGTGGCAAAACATGGGGTAGTAAATGCACCCCTACTTCAATGCCTCCATTGTTACTCCGGGAAGGCTGTGCATTTTTTTATTTTTATTTTTTGCAGAGCAGCCTCTGCAAAGAATCAGGTATGAGCAATGCAGTGAAGTGTTTATGGATGAACACCATTTAAGCAATAAATCTGATGTCATCCAGATTAAGGCATGAACAATCACTGTCTGATTTACCTGTAACACCCGAGGCTCTTGTGCCATCTTCTGTCACTTCAATCTTTGCTTTGTGGATGGCTTCTGAGATATAAAGGCTTCCTTGTTCTAGTAAACAAAACCAACAATAATAATTAATGCATTTGTCAGTGCAAGCTCAATACAACTTCACCTAATAATTAGAGATTAGGGTGCATCATGTACAGATTAGGAGATGGAACCACAGAGAGGGTGAAAAGAACAATGTATTTTTTTCACCGTTACCAGTTTTTGGAGCCTGGAATCTGTGCATTAGATTGCTCAGTCCAGTTGCCTGTTTCAATTTAGGAGAACCGGATAATACATTTTAATATTTTTCATGTTAGTGGTTTTAATATCATTAAATGTTTAATTATTTATTTGTTTTGTATCAAAAGCATTGCATACATTAGAATAAAACTGATAAAAATAGAAGGAGCACAAGTGGCTAAATATCTTTTGACCAAAAACGGGCAACAGCAACGGCATTGTCTGTAGCCTCCAACAGTTCTTCCTCTGGACATGAAACAGGGCATAGTGAACAAGCATACAGATGCGGAGTTGTCTGTTCTGCTCCACAGTCACACAAGGTGTGGGATTCTTTTAGGTAGTCCCATTTTCCAGGTTGTCTTTTGATTGGCCCACTCTGTTTCTGAGTCTGTTCAGGGACTTCCAAGTTTCCCATTCTTGGTTTGCCCCTGGAGGAAGACCCTCGTGAGGGGCCATCCAATTGGGGGACATGGAAAGAGTCTCCTTGAAGACTGAGTAAATACAGTTGAGAGTCCCCTGGGCAACTTTCTTGTAAACAGCTAATCTTTCCCAACCCAAAAGCATTGCTTTTAAACATTTTAATTGTTTAGTTTATATATTTATATATATTTGCATTGTTTTATTGCATCCCTGTATTGAGAGAAACGCGGGACAAAAATGAAGGAGGAAGAAGAATAAGGGGAGGAGGTGGCAGAAGAGGTAGAGAATAATGTAGTGTGGAAATTACAGATTTGTTTTCCTGGAATGTGTGAGATTGGGTTGTATTAAGGATCATTTTAAGAGTTATTTCCACGGGGTGCATCCAGTATTGTGCAAATGGACCTCCGATGTTTTTCTTTCTGCTCTATCCCAACTCTGCTGCAGACAATTTCCTCCAAATCTGAGAGGATAAATGCAGGGAGCTAGAAAAGGAGTGAAATATGTCCCCCCAAGCAGTTTCTATTCTGCTGGTATATACTCATCAATGAAGAAACATGTATCCTATGGCACACACAGGATACAATGGTTTTAAGTCATCATGTGCATTATCTCAGATAATGTAATGATGCCTGGGCTGTAATTAAAAACATCAAGAGGGCTGATATCATTAGTTAGACTCTGTCCTCCACTTCATCCATATAATTGTGACTAGTGCTGAGGACCGAGTCTCCATTCCCACTTATCACCTTATTACAAGAGATGTTTTGGGAACCCTTTGAGAACCTAATCCAGTGGTTCTCAACCTGTGGGTCCCCAGGTGTTTTGGCCTACAACTCCCAGAAATCCCACCCAGTTTACCAGCTGTTAGGATTTCTGGGAGTTGAAGGCCAAAATATCTGGGGACCCACAGGATGAGAACCACTGACCTAATCTAAGGGATGGCTGGGCAGTCTTTGACCCTTCTGAAATTTTGTGCCATTACTCTCAAATCCCTTGCCACTGGCCATGCTTGAAGGGGCTGGTGAGAATTATTGCCCAAAATATCTGGAAGTATCAATGGTTCCTCACTTTTGACTTATTGGATCTGTTGCATTGAATACTTTGATCAAAAATATGAGACAAGCAGTAGACATACCTGAAATGCCTTTAAAATCTGCTCGAGTTGAATCAAACATGTCTGTGATTCCTAATGCAGGTAAAACCATCTTTAGGTCCAAGTGGTTTTGAATTCTGAATCTGAAAAGACATTAGATGGACATTTTAAACATTTAAGCCACTCACTACATTATTATTATTATTATTATTATTATTATTATTATTAATCACTATTATCTGCTTTGAAGTGGATTATATGGCAGTGTAGACTCAGATAATCCAGTTCAAAGCAGATAATATGGATTATCAGACTTAATATTCTGGATTATATGGCAGTGTAGGCCCATTAACTCTTTACCTTGGGAGAAAGATATCCATCTTTGTTCTTCTCAAGCTGTTGGACCACAACGGGAAGCTTTGAACTGAAAGATATGATTCAACTTCAGCTAGAGATGTCCTTCGACTGGATGGAAGCACCACGAACATACTGACAGTTTCCCCCAAATAGGGCAATTCAACCACACTGATCCGTTCCAGAGAATCTATTAAGAATTCACCTGCAGGTTGGAAAAGAAATAGTGCGATTAGCTTTCAAGTATGCTGAATCTTATTTGAACACATTAGATTATGTAGAACGTTTTGAAGTAGGAATAATCCATTACATTTGTGTAGGAATTCAAAATATCCAAAGTATTTAGGGATTGAGAAGGGTGGGGTAAAAGTGTATGAAATAAAATAAAATAAAATAAAAATATTAAATAAATAAATAAATAAATAAATATTTTATCTAATTGTAGGTTCTAGTCCTCACAACAGTTCTTTGAATCAGGGGTGAGGGTTTTGTGTTATTGAATTGCAACTCCCAGCATCTTCAGCACATTTATGAATACTGGGAGATGCAGTTCAACAAAACTGAAAGGGTCATATAAGTCCCACCATGTTCTAAAGCATGAATAGCTTTTCAAGTTATACTGCATAGCTGAGTATTGTGTCTGAGACTGAGTGGCTTCCTAAGGCCAATATAGCCTGCAATCTGGTGATCCTAACGAAAAGAGACACATTGAATCAGCTGATGAGTTTGACAAAAAAAAAAGGTGTAGATGCTCTCTTAAATGCATGTTTCCATGGTACCATTTCAATCACTGAAAAAACCAGTATAGATCAGGCATGGGCAAACTTTGGCCCTCCGGGTGTTTTGGACTTCAACTCCCACAATTCCTAACAGCCAGTAAGTTGGCTGGGATTTCTGGGACTTGAATCCCAAAACACCTGGAGGGCCGAAGTTTGCCCATGGCTGGTATAGATGCTACAAGTATCTTGGCTCTGTCTGCTATTATTCTCCCTTATAAAGTCAATACTTGTACAAGTTTCAAACGAGATGCAATTATTCAGATGAATGCTTTACTATGGCTGTTTTCCCAAACTATGTGAGGACTGAACTGAAACAGTTCCCACGTGAGGACTGTGTAATCTTGAAACATGCATGCTAAAATTAGCCCTTGGCTTTCACTTTTAAAGTTCTAGTTTCCATTCTTTTTGGTAATCCATACAAGATTAAACATTTAAGAAGCTTGTACTTCCAAGTACATCCACCTCTGAAATTTTGAGGAGATATATTATTAGCTGACATTAATTCTTTGACATGCAAGCTGGTCAAACCAACTTGCTTTTTTTGTCCTTGTTGTGCCAAATATTTGGTGCAAAACAAGAGATTTGTGAGGGAGAATATGGCTAGAAATATTTTTAAAAACTCTAAAATCAGGACAGTACATAAAGAGTACATTACAGGACAGTACATTCTCTGAAAACAGAGAAATTCCTGACATGAACTAATTAGGGCCAGCAAACATCTTCCAACAAAGGATTCCCCCAGGCAGGAAACAGACAGGCCTTGAAGCTGCAAGGCCATTCAGTGTTGATCTCGATGGCTAATTGCAACATTCACACTTGACTCCCACCTGGTCCCTGGACATTCCACAGATATATAAACCCCATTTTCCTAGTTTCCAAAAGACCTCACAACCTCTGAGGATGCCTGCCATAGATGTGGGTGAAACATCAGGAGAGAATGCTTCTGGAACATGGCCATACAGCCCACAAAACTCGCAGCAACCCAGTGATTCCAGCCATGAAAGCCTTTGACAATGCAATGTGAAATATTTTTCCCCAAGCCAATTTTTTCATATTTTTTTCCATTTATTTTAATGACACATTTATTTGGCTTTCAAAGTTCTGGAGGCAATATGATCAAATCAATCGGAAAGCGTGTTACCAAAGGATGATGCCACATTCCTACACTATTAGCTGGCAATTCAGTATGAAGGCAACACTAAGCAACAACCATATAAACATCATGCCTTTAAACAAAGAGGCAAACCAAGCTATTTCCCCAAAAGTTCCCATTACAACAATTGGTTGAGGGGATGGGGGTTCGTCTCATCTTCTCTCTCTTAAATCAAAACACAGCAATCCCTTGGTATCCACTGGGACATGGTTCAGGGAAGGTACCTGGATACCAAAATACATGGGTGCTCATCCTCTTATAGACAATTGTACAATAGTGCATAAAATAATCAAAGTGTGCTTTTGGGAGTTCAACAATTTTTTTCAAGCTGTGGATGGTTGAATTTGTGGACATGAAGGGCTGACAGTACAAAGGCACACAAATTTGCATGAACATTCCATTTATCCATCATTTGCACCAGTTTTTCATCACCTTTCATTATATGTTAATTTAAAAAGTTTTAATTAGCAGGCATACTTGATTTTAATGCTCTGGTTGTTTTAAAGTTCCAAAACAGTGGAACTTCCCCTGAATTTGGCAGAGAACCATTCCTTGATGGTTCCTCTCCCTTCTGGCTTTCTTTTACATAGAAAATGCATATATAGGAACCAATTTGTCCAATAAAGTGGGGAATCCAATGCTTTCTAGTTCCTCTTGGACTACAAGTACCACCCTCCTTCATTACCAGTTTGGTTTGATGGGTATCGCAGTCCAATACTGCCATGTAGAATCTAGCAGTTCTGTCATTGGGGCAGTGAAAGTACTCTATGTTTTAGACAAAACTATAAAGGTGCTCGCTAAGGTGCTGAAACTATTTTGGCATAAAACAATGGTTTTCAACCTGTGGGTCCCCAGGTGTTTTGACCTACAACTCCCAGAAATCCCAGTTAGTTTACCAGCTGTTAGGATTTCTGGGAGTTGAAGGCCAAAAAATCTGGTGATCCACAGGTTGAGAACCATTGGCCTAAAACCTGGATTTATTGCCCTGCTGACATAGAAGCCACCAGCTGCACTGGCATCATCTGGGGAGGCCCACATTTTCCAGACAAAGCTGATATAATTACCGTAATTGACTTCCGCACAGAGATACAAGGTAGGCACTTTCAGAGTTATGCCTTCTGTAGTAGTAAAGGACAAGGACTGAGTATCTGTGAAGGTGAATTTCCGTTGCCAAGTGCTTTTGAAGTACATGGTGCTCACCACTGCTACCTGGTTGAGGGGAGAGTCAATGCTCTGTAAGGACAGGCAGTTTTCTTCTCTGTCTATAAAGAAGAGAGACCCAAATAATGGAAGTTATTTGAATTTGAATATAACACACTTATTCTTCTAGAGTTGAACTGGTCCAGAATTAAAAATGACTTTTTAAGGAAGTCAATGAATTCACTCAATAGAGTTTGAGTTTGCATATTGACTGGCCCTCCTAACAGTCCATCTAGAATGCAACCTCATTTATCAGGCGTGTTTAATGTCACAACTGTAAGCTATCTGAATGCCTCTGATAATTCAAATAGGGCCAACAGAGAGCAATTCTCATGGCAGCCTCCTGGCATCAGTAAAGCAGATCCACAAAGTCTGAAGATCACATCCAGCCTCAAAATCAAAATGATGTGGGTTCAGGAGCCCCTACCCTACAACACTTTAGGAAAGAGTCAAAACTTGTTTTTTACAGCTGGCATTTGATAATATTTAGACAGTAACCAGAACGGATTGGTATTTAATTAGCACTTTGTTCATTTGTTCTTTGTTCATTTTGGCATTGAATGTTTGCCACTCTGTTATTTTTGTTGTCCCTTTGGGGAGATAGGGCAGTATATAAATTTATTATTATTATTATTATTATTTTATCCTATGTGATTCAGCTGAGCTGCTATATTGATTACATGGATCTTTTAACTTATTCAATTTTAATAGGGGTTGTTTTATCCAGTGTATATATCTGGTTTATGTAATGTTATTGTTGTTTTCATGTTGTATTTTTTTCTAAGTATTTTGTATTTTATGTATCGCATCTTTGTGTGCTATTTTGTAAACCGCCCCAAGTCCCTATGGGAGATGGTGGCGGGGAATAAAGTTATTATTATTATTATTATTATTAACACAACAAGATGAGTCCACAGCAGACACTCTGCTGGCTGTTGAATTGGATCACACGTCGGACACTTCCCAAGTGTCTAGGACTGTGTTATGTATCGGTAAATAATGCGTGCAGATCCCAGTAAGGTGCAGCTGGCAGATGGCAATTTCGTCAGCAAAGATTGTGTTTAAGTGCAGGCCAAGGTCTTTAGGCACTGTACCCAGTGTGCCGATCACCACTGGGACCACCTTGACTGGCTTGTGCCACAGTCTTTGCAGTTCTATCTTTAAATCCTCATATCGGGTCAGCTTTTCCAGTTGTTTCTCTTCAATCCTGCTATCACCTGGGATTGCAACATCGACGATCCATACTTTGTTTTTTAACACGATTGTGGGGTCCGGAGTGTTGTGCTCCAGAACTCTGTCTGCCTGAATCCGGAAGTCCCAGAGTAGCTTGCCATGTTCATTTTCTGTAACTTTTTCCGGCTTGTGATCCCACCACTTCTTTGTTGCAGGCAGATGGTATTTGTGGCACAAGTTCCAATGAATCATCTGAGCAATGGTGTTATGCCTCTGCTTGTAGTCTGTCTGCGCGATCTTCTTGCAGCAGCTGAGGATGTGATCTATTGTTTCATCTGCTTCCTTGTAGAGTCTACATTTGGGATCTGTTGTCGACTTTTCAATTCTGGCTTTGATGGCATTGGTTCAAAAGGCTTGTTCTTGGGCTGCCAGAATCAGGCCCTCTGTCTCCTTTTTCAGAGTTCTATTTGTGAGCCACAGCTATGTTTTTAATTTGTCAATTTGGCTCTCATTTTTTGCCAGAAACTGTTCATGGAGTGCCTTCTTTTGCCTGTTTTCTCTTCTGTTCAGAATTGTGCTTTTACAGTATTCCCTCTTTGTCTTTTGCACTTTAAGCAGTTTACTACTATTGACTTCCCTCAATGTTGGTTCTTGACTGCCTTTCACATAATTCTTTTACCGTTTGTTTCACTTGCAGGAGCCCTCTGCCTCCTAATTTTCTGGGCAGGTAAAGTATTATTATTATTATTATTATTATTATTATTATTATTATTTTAACTTTATTGCTCCAGCATGCAAACATTACTTCCACATTCAAACATCAACAAGATGATGATCCTTTATTTATATATTGCCTAAAGGGACTCAGGGTGGTTTACAGACAAAAGTAGTGAAGTGGAAAACATTCATTGCCTAAACAAACAAACAACAACAATAAATCAACTGGAGCCGCATCAGCCTGGAAGAGGGTGAGGCAAGGTCCTCCTGGGCTGTTGGTGCCATGGCTGCCTTGAGGAGGCCAACGGTAGGGTCCTCCTGGGCCAATCAGAAATAATTGTATTTAGGAAGGATACTCCTTATTACATATCTTTTAACTGAAAAAAACAAACAAGGACTAGACAAATGATTTTTCACTTGCAAAGCATGTGCTCTGTACCAATTAGCTATGAGCCATTTCTTGGAAAGAGATTTTTGAACTGAGATGAATAACTGCCAGTTAAAGGCTATTAAGCTCCTGGATATACTGGGAACTATAATTCATTTCTCCACCATTTACCCTGCCATTTAGGCTTTGACTCCTTCATTCCAAGCACTACTCATACTATTCCATGTATTTTCATCACCAAGGCTAATCCATTTTAAGTGTGCATGGCTCAAGTTTATTTATTTTTATTTATTTGCAGTTTTTATATACCGCCCTTCTCAACCCCGAAGGGGATTCAGGGTGGTTCACAGTGCTGGCAACAATTCAATGTCATCAATAAAAAACAGTATAAAACATCAAAATGGACCCTCCCGTGATAAAACATTAAACATTATTAAACACATCACATAAAATAACATCACATATCACACAAAAACATAACTTATCTTGTGCTGTACACATGGCTTTAAAAGTCTGTATAATCAAAGCGCCAAATGTGGAACTTGTCTTCACTTTACCTCCAATATTTGTGGCGATCCATTCGTTTATCTGTGCCGCAGTCCTGTTGGGCTCGCTGAAGTTAGTTTGCTGCACAGCATTGTTTGCCCAAAATGCAGCATGTTGTACAAACTGAGGTAAAAGGCGAATCCCGGCTTGGACAAAAAGGGCACAGGCCAACTGGGCCACAGGGCCTTGCTTGGAGTTGCTTACTTCTTTATAGACCTTGTGCAAGAACTCCCGCATGTCCTGATCTAAGAAAAAGCAACAGTATTGGGATATATATATATAGAGAGAGGGGGGGAAATATATATATATATATATTTATATATATTTGGAAACGGGGAACACACACTGTGATTCCTTCCTACCTGCAAAAAAAGTTGTTTCCCCAAACACTATTGACTGTCACCTCTATGAACTCTAGACCAGTGGTTCTCAACCTGTGGCTCCCCAGATGTTTTGGCCTTCAACTCCCAGAAATTCTAACAACTGGTAAACTGGCAGGGATTTCTGGGTGTTGAAGGCCAAAACACCTGGGGACACACAAAATGAGAACCACTGATCTAGAAGCTCATTTTAGAGGTCTAGTGTGATGGAACTTTCCTCTTTTCCCCTCCTCCTTGAAGAACTTTGCTTTTAATCCAAATTTAAAGGAACTAACAGACATATAACTTATTGCGGGCATAGGGTTCAGCACCTTGGATAGATCCTTTACCGGTGCTGCTTTAAAGGCCTCCTCCCGATTCCACTGGGTCTTGGCTCATATTGGTTCACTCTTCAGGTTCAGAAAAGATCAATCAGTGATAAGAGGCTTAGAGGACACAACGTATGAGAAAGGGTTGAAGGAGCTGTGCATGTTCAGCTTGAGGAAGAGAGGACTGAGGAGCGACACAACTGCATTCTTTAACTACCTCAAAGGCTGTCACAATGAGCAGGAAGCAAGACTTTCCTGAATCACATTATACGTTCAGTGTAAACCCACATAATGTTTGAACCACATTGAACTGAATTACATATATGGCAATATAGGTCCAGCCTAAGTCTAGGTGACAGGAGGGGAGATTTTGATTGAATATTAAAAGGAATTTGGAAGTTTGGAAATGAAATTGGTGGGGCCTCTTTCTCTGGATGTCTTTGTAAAGAGCCTGGACAACAACTTGCTAGCTATATTCTAACTGGAGATCCTGCACTGAACAAGGGGCTGGACTGCATGGCCCACAAGACTCCTTCCAGCTCTATGACTCCTTCCTGTCATTTATCTGAGATAGTTTTCTAATTCCTTGTTTCAAGACTCATCAGCTTCTCTACAAACAGAAAGATTTAAATACACCAAAAAGTAGAGATTGTGATGGTGCATCAATATCTTAGGATATCCAGCTGTAGAGTAGTTTGTTTGAGCAATGCAAACATCTCATGATTAAGAACCAAATTAACAGACAAGTCTTCCCCCAGATTCCTCTATATCAGGGGTCCCAAAACTAAGCCCGCCAGTCGGATGCGGCCTTCCAGGGTCATTTACCTGGCCCCCTTCCTAAACTTTAAACTTAAGGCTGAAATGACTTCAAAGGCACACAACAACAATCCTAATTAACTAGACTATCTCATCAACCAAAAGCAAGTCCACACTTCCCATTGAAATACTGGTAAGCTTATGTTGGTGAAAAATGTTCTCCATTTTAAATATTGTAATGTTCTTTCATGATTTATTTTTTTTTGCTGGAGCGGTACCTATTAATCTACTCATTTTTGCATGTTTTTGAACAGCTAGGTTGGCAGAAGCTGAGGCTAACAGTGAGAGCTCACCCCGCTCCCTGGATTCAAGTCACCAACTTTTTGATCAGCAAGTTCAGCAGCTCAGCGGTTTAACCCACTGCACCACCAGGCGCATTATAACATTATTTGTCATAATGAAGTTCAATATTTAAAAATCAAACATTTAGATTTTGAGATTTCTAAGGTTAGTTTTGAAAAGAGGCACTATGTTGAGCATGAAAAATAACAAGAAAATGCACATCCATCAATTGTACAAATAGCACTTGAATCAAATGTAAGAAGAGATTATTATGTTAGACCCAGCAAACATACTGATAAATCTTTGATATAGATTTTTCTGAGTCAGGCAAAAGAAAGATAAATTCTAATGGTGTATAGTCTTCATTGGTTGCCTAAATAGACCATAGCCATTAGATCTTATTGAATGTTAGAAGCTAAGTAGGATCAGCCTTGGTTACTACTTGGATGAGAAGTGCTGTAGGAAATCATATAGGTATATAGGTTAGGGTGAGGGTAGTTGGATGTGACTAGTTAAATAGATAAGCAATGTAGTTTAAGGTTCAGCATTGTATTGGTATTATATGTAATGTCTTGTACATTGGTATTGTATGTAATGTTTTGTATTTTTTCTGCATTACACTGTATGTGTAATGTATGCTGAGAAAATTAAAATTAATTTTAATATGAGATGTAGTTCAGCAGAAGAAGGAATAGGCAAAATTTTCAGAAGAGGCAAAACTGGGTAGTCTTTATATTGTCGAAGGCTTTCATGGCTGGAATCATTGGGTTGTTGTAGATTTTTTTGGGCTGTACAACCATGTTCTAGAAGCATTCTCTCCTGACGTTTCACCCCTGAGGATGCCTGCCATAGATGCAGGTAAAACGTCAGGAGTGAGTGCTTCTAGAACATGGCCATACAGCCCGAAAAACCTACAACAACCCTGGGTAGACTTTGCTTGAGAAAACCATATGAAATTCATGAGGTCACTGTAAGTGGACAGGGAACTTGAAGCCACACACATACACACAATCTCTTACCACGAGTGTTGTATCCCAGTGCTCGCTTCAGCTGGGCAAAAGTGTTCCCTTGCGCACCAAACTGCAGAAGTCCCAGGGAAAGAGAAATGCTTGCTGGAGAAATAACAAGGTTAGTTCCGTTATCAAGCTCTGCCAAGCGTTGGTAAAGGCTGAGGGCAAACTCAGTATTCAGGTTCTTTGGGTCATTGTAGTGGTGGTCACAGCTTCCAACATTCAAAGACCAAAGTGACAGAAGGAGGAGGATTGTGTCAGAGGCAGGCAGCATGAAGGCAGGAGGTTGTGTTGCCAGAGGATGACACCTGCAACCAGCAAAAAAGATACTGAGGCAAATAAAACAGAACCATCTTCTGATCTAACAAAAAGTCTTTCTCCCTCACAATCTCGCACAACAGAGAGAATTTCAAAGCACACCCACCTATTGAGATCATGCATTCTAGAAAACTTGGAATTGATTTTTTTTTGTAGTGTCAGGAGCGACTTGAGAAACTGCAAGTCGCTTCTGGTGTGAGAGAATTGGCCTCCTGGAAGGACGTTGCCCAGGGGATGCCCAGATGTTTTTGATGTTTTACCATCTTTGCGGGAGGCTTCTCTCGTGTCCCCGCTTGGAGAGCTGGAGCTGACAGAGGGAGGTCATCTGCGCTCTCCCCGGATTCAAACCTGCAACCTGTCGGTCTTCAGTCCTGCCGGCACAGGGGATTAACCAACTGTACCACCAGGGGCTTCTTTGCAGTCGATAAACTAGTGTTTTCTATCCACATACTAGTATGGTCCCAGAAAAATGGAACGCAAACATTTGAAAAGCCAGCTCTATTTTTGGAACACAAATACACAAGCATTAAAGAATTAAAACCCAAGCCCCTTAACTTACTTCTCAGTTCTACAGGCAGCAGGATTACTGCCAATGCAAAATATTTTAAAATCTTTTCAGTCAAAATAACAAACTTTTCTCATCAATCAGATAAAACAGTCCTCTACACACCTGAAATACATGCTTTCAGAAATGAATTGCTTCACTTCAGAATTTTTGGTAAGTGTCTACCATCTGTGCCTGTTTCTGTACAAAGCAAAATAAACTCCTCTAGTTTACTTACTGGGTAAGCTGGGTTGGGTTGGATGTTGTGCCAGAGTCCCGAAAGGTCTGCTTTTGGTCTGTCCCGTTCTATAATATATAATGAAGTGGGGTCTTAGTCATAAGACCACAGTGAAAGGGATAGTCCGTGATCATGGTCCCTCGTCGGCGATGTCTGTACCACCCTGTCCAAATTCCTGTGGGCTCTATAGGGAGTCAGGCAGCAAGGCATGTTACTACTCCAGCAAATCCCAAGCATGGAACACAAAGGTACTGATGGAGAAAGAGTACAAGCACAGTGCAAGCCTCAATAGGCAGGCGTGTGACCTCCTTCAGTTCACCTACTGGCATCACTTTCCTCCTCCTCCTCCAATCCCCTCCCCACCCCCCAACCCTTGGTCGGTGGACTCTTTTCAAAACATTCCATAGATTTCTAAGTTGCTAGTGAAAGGAAGGAAAGAAACTGGAAATTATGCCTGATACATACTAGGTACAAAACCTATATGAATGGAGTGAAGGGAACAGAGAGGCTACTGCTGCTATAGATACAATTAGTTCCATGATCTGTCACTATAATGCTTATTTTTAGTGTTGCCATGCAGAATTAGGGAATACCTAAAAAGAAAGGCAATCCACCAAAGATGTTACAGCTCCAGCTAGTCTTGGATGACACACACTTCCTTAATGCATTTCAAATCAGCTTCAGAGCAGTACAGAGAGTTGAGACTGCTATGATCACCTTAGTGGATGGTCTCTACTAGTCCTGGATGGCTTTCGATCCCATCAATCATGGTATCCTTCTAAAGCACCTGGGGGTGGGTGGGTTGGGAATCAGAGGCACTGTGTTGCAATGCTTCCAGTCGTACCTTTCAGGCAGGTTCCAGATGGTGATGCTTGGGAATATCTGCTCCTCAAAAATAAAAGCAGCTATCTCCAGTGGTTTTTAACATTCACATGAAACTGCTGGGAGAGATAACCTGGAGGCATGGGATGAGGTGCTATCACTGTGCTGATGACATCCAAATATATTTCTCCATGTCTTCAAAAATAGTCTCGGCTAAGGACAGTGTGTCTTCTCTGAATGAATGCCTGAAGAAGGTAATGGGCTGGATGAAGAAAACCAAACTGAAATTAAATCCAGACAAGAAAGAAGTGATTGCCATCAGCAAGTCAACCAGTTCTGAATGGTAAGTCAACCAGTTCTCCCCTTGAAAGACTATGTTTGCAGTTTGGGAGTGGTCATTGGTCCATGTCTCCAAATGTTATTCCAGATAGATGTGACAGGGATAGAATGGCACTTTGTGGGAAGCCACGTAACAGCTCATTGTTGAGGGGCAGTTATCCCCAAGCACCACCATCTGGAACCTGTCTGAGAGGTACAACTGGACCCACTGCAATCAGTTCTTTTGATTCCTAGTCCCTCTAGGCATCCCAGAAAGATACCACGGTCTATGGGATTGAAAGCCACCAAGAGGTCTAGAAGAACCAAAAGGGATACACTTCCCCATCAGTGTTAAGACGGAGATCACCCATTGAGGCGACCATAGCAGTTCCAACTCCATATCCTGCTCTGAAGCCAATTTGAAATAGGACAGGGAAGTGTATGTCATCCAAGACTGCCTGGAGCTGGAGGGCAGCTGCCTTCTCCATCACTTCGCCTAAAAAAGGAAGATTAGACACTGGTCTTTAATTATTAAGGTCCAGGGGATCAAGGGAGGGCTGTTTCAGCAGTGGTCTACTGCTTCTTTTAAATAAGATGAAAAATTCACCTCCTTGAGAAACACATTCATAATTTGTTGTATTTGGATGATCAGCCAAAAGAGGCAGGGATCAAGAAAGCAGTTTGTTCTCCTTACTAGCCCCAGCAGCTTGTCTACATCAACAGTACTCACCAACTGAAACTGATTCAGTGGAATCCCACTCACAGAGTTGCTGGACACCTCATTGTTAGTTTCTGCTGCAATGACAACATCTAAATCGGCTCTTATGCAAGAGATTTTACCTGCAAAATGGTTCTTAAAGCCATCAGAATGAACTTCTGAAGGTTCTAATAATGGGTTTGGAAAGGGCGGGGAATTGCATTAAACCTCTCACCACTCTGAACATCTCAGCTGGAAATGAATTGGCAGAAGCAATGTGTGCAGAGAAGAAAGCTTCCTTCACCACATGTATTGCCACCTTATTGTAACTGAATGTTCTCTATATCATGTCTTGTTTCATGAAAATTGAGTTATCTGCCATCTGTACTCTGAAAGTCGTCCTTCCCATTTCATTTCCCTGAAGGTATGCTGATGATACCAAAGTGTATTTCTCTTGTGTCTTCAAAAGCAGCTTTAGCTAAGGATAGCAGAATGTTGTAGCGTGGGAGCGCTCCTGGATCCGTCTCCCCAAATGTCAGCCCGGGTAGATGCGACCATCAAGAGTGCTTACTACCAGCTTCTGCTGTTCACCAGTTGTGCCCCTTCCTAGATTTGGAGGACCTAAAGATGGTTGTGCATGTGCTAGTAACCTCAAAGCTGGACTTGCAATGAACTTTACATTTGTATCAAACTCCAGTTCTTCAAAACATGGAAGCCAGATTGGTTATGGGAACATCTAGGGGTGAGCATATTATAGGCCTGTGCATTGTAAACTATCACACCCAGTTCTGATTCAAAGCTGCTAAGCAAGAACATTCACTACCAGCAGCCTGACTCTTGAGACAGTTAGGACCAAAGAATTATAATCACCATTTTTTAAAAAAAAAAATGAATTTTCTGCATAGCTAAAGAGATTGGGCTTAATGGTACCAAATAACGACTATCCAGTTTTTTCCTAATTCTTTTGTCCACACAAAGGTCATCAATCCCTCATAGCTTTTCACATTATGCAAGGAAACCTTTAAGGTACTTAGTACTTTCTGACCTCTGGCGCCCTATTTACACACAGAGACAGGCAGTCAGCTTGAATTAATCCGACTCTAATTACAACCACACACATCTGATATTTGCTCATTGCAGAGTAGCGGGCTACCAGGTACACAGAGGTAAAGTGAGCTGGATTATCTGCCCATGCATGTGCTTCCCAGAGTGAGGTCTAGTGTTCATTTTTGTGAATGATCCACAGACAAATTTGGCTTCAAACTCCCAAAGCATGGGAAGTGTTGTGTAAAACTGGTGCCTCAAGTCACCAGACCTGACTCTGCCTTATGAATGAGTGCTAGACTTCCCAGTTTTACCTTTGACAGAGCCCAGTAAAACTCGAAAATATAATTATTAAGGATCTTCCTTTCATGCCCATAGCATTTAGGTAGCATATTACAGCGCGAACTTCACACTTGGAGGAAAACGGAATGAGTACGCTCATCTCTAAACTTCACCACAATGCCAGTTGATGAACTACTGATGACTGGCACTGCTCGTTCGCTTCCCCTTGTTTCCTGCTACACGGCAGCAATACCAACTTCCCTGCAAGAGCTACGTGCCTTGTAACCTTACTTTCTGGATAACTCTTGTATGTTGTTAGGTACCGTAAGTCTCATAATTGTGATAGTTATGAATATAAAGGACTACTACTACTTCTACTACAACTAATAAGTATTATATTATTTGAAACACAACAAGATGAGTCCACAGCAAACAAGATCACTCTGCTAGCTGTTGTATTAGATCACACGTCGGACACTTCCCAAGTGTCTAGGACTATATGATGTATTGGTGAATAATGCGTGCAGATCCCAGTAAGGTGGCTTTTTGCAGCTAGCAGATGCCAATTTTGTCAGCACCGATTGTGTTTAAGTGCAGGCCAAGGTCTTTAGGCACTGTACCCAGTGTGCCAATCACCACTGGGACCACCTTGACTGGCTTGTGCCACAGTCTTTGCACTTTGATCTTTAAATCCTCATATTGGGTCAGCTTTTCCAGTTGTTTGTCTTCAATTCTGCTGTCGCCTGGGATTGCAACATCAACGATTCACACTTTGTTTTTTGGCGGATTGTGATGTCAGGAGTATTGTGCTCCAAAACTCTGTCTGAATTTGGAAGTCCTATTATTATTATTATTATTTATTATTATTATTATTATTATTATTATTATTATTATTATTATTATTATTATTATTATTATAGCAGCTGAAATGTTTGGACTCCAAACAATGAAAATGAAGGGATGTTATAAAAATAATAACATGGCTTGTCCCCCACAAAAGTATATCTGAAGATTGTTGCGTCTATATAAATCAAGGATGCTTTCAGCCGAACTGAATGTTATAAACTCTAAAATTACAACAGCAAAACAACAGAGAGGAAACAATCAGGGACTTATAATCACCTCTCAACAAAAGATTGCTCCAGGCACTAACAAGCCACACCAAACAACTGCCAGGCTATCAAATACTAATTAAGGTGGTCAGTTAAAATATTCACACTTAGTTCCAACAGACAAGAGTCCTTTGTCCCGCCCTGGTCATTCCACAGATATATAAACCCATTTTCTAGTTCCAACAGACCTCACTACCTCTGAGGATGCTTGCCATAGATGCAGGTGAAATGTCAGGAGAGAATGCCTCTAGAACATGGCCATATAGCCCGAAAAAACCTACAACAACCCAGTGATTCTGGCCATGAAAGCCTTCGACAATACATTGAATGTTATACATTCAATTCTTTAGAAAACTATAACCACAAGATGGCACCAACAGCCAACTCAAAGCACTTCCTGCTATTTTCCTTAGATTATTGCAACAGTCTCAATCCTCACATGCAATGCCTAGAAATAGCAAAAGGTAAAGGCTTCCCCTTCTGGCTCTGAGTGGTGGTGCTCATCTCCGACTCTGGGGTGTGGTGCTCATCTCCATTTCTAAGCCACAGAGCCGGCATTGTCCGCAGACACCTCCTAGGTCATGTCTGCATGGAGCTCTGTTTACGCTTCTGCCGTGGAGGTACCTATTGATCTGCTCACTTTACATATTTTTAGACTGCTAGGTTGTCAGAAGCTGGGGCTAACAGCGGGAGCTCACCCCATTCTGTGGATTTGCTTGTGTTTGTACATATAATCCACTCTGAGTCTCCTCGTGGAGATAGGTGGAATATAAATAAAGTATCATCATCATCATTATCATTCATTAATGAATGAAAAACTAATTTGACTACAAAGTATTGGATCATCTATCACGAAAAAAGAAAATTACTAAGGCCAAACAGAGACTTGACTTTCTGAAGTGCATTGATATCTAACATCTAAATATTCTAATTCAGTCTTCACCATTTTGGTATCTTCTGGGTGTGTT